CCCCCATATATATATATATATATATATATATGGCCATAAGGCTTGTTGCGACGTGCAACCCGATCCACATAGATATAGTCATGAGGCTTGTTGCGACGTGCAACCCGATCCACATATATAGATATCACTCACATCACGACGCTCAGGCCCCAACTCAGTCACCAAACTCTCCAGTCTCTCGGGCTCACAACACTCATGCTAAGCAGCCCTAATCAATGATACGAGATGTGACGATATACGATAACAGAGACTGAGATATGACACGTAATGATGAATCTGACTGAATACGCAACTGCAATTAAACAGATAACTCAACAGCAAAGAACGATCACTGTGGGTCCCAATAGTACCAGCATATAGACTAAACATGATTTCTAGCATGAATCACAACTCAAGTGCTCTAACACATAGAGTACATCAAAAATGTTCAGATAAAATAGCTACGCAATTCCTGGGAATCGACTAAATCACAATTTTTACGGTGCACGCCCGTCACCTCAACATAAATCACATAGCACGAAATTCGGGGGTTCATACCCTCAGAACCAAGCATAGAAATGTTACCTCAATCTGTGCAAAACTCTACTCCAACAAGCCTTGGCCTAGCGAAACGACCTTCGAATGCCTCGAATCTAGCCACAAACAATTCGATACAATCAACACGAGCCAAAGGAATCAATTCCATAAGAAAATACTAAGTTTTTAATCAAAAGTCAAAAAGTCAACTAAAAAGCTGCCCCCGGGCCCACGTCTCGAAATCCGATAAAAGTCACAAAATATGGAAGCCCATTCAACCACGAGTCCAACCATACTAAATTTATCAAAATCCAACACCAAATTGACACCAAAATCCCCAATTTAAACTCTCCAAATCCCTAGCCTCAAACTCCAAAATTACACCTCAAAACCACACAATCTAGGTGGAAAAATCAATGGGGAAACATAATTATTTAGTAAATTTAACCACAAGTGACTTACCTCAAGAATCCCTTCGAAATCCCTCTCAAAAATCGCCTAATCCCGAGCTTGAAATCTCCAAAATGAAGGAAATCACGAAACCCTCGAACTTAATACTCTGCCCAGCACTTTCGCACCTGTGACTCATTTAGTCGCACGTGCGGTCTCGCAGGTGCGAGAAATATTCCACTTCTGTGGTTTGCCCAAGGCTCCACTGCCTCCTCTTCTGCAACCACACACGCGCAGGTGCGAGTCCGCACCTGCAGAAATCCTTCTGCATCCGCGCTCCACAGCTCACAATCCATTACCGCTTCTGCGCTCCAGTTGCCGCATCTGCGGCCACGCAGGTGCAGAAATTCCCTCGCACCTGCGACCACTGCACACTCCCCTCCAGGCCGCATCTGCGCTTTCCGCTCGCACCTGCGATCACCACTTCGCAGGTGCGATTGCACCAGAACTGGTGAGCTTATCTGTTAACCATCCGAACTCCACCCGAGGCCCCCAGGACCTCAATCAAATATACCACCAAGTCCTAAAACACGATACGAACTTAGTCGAGCCTTCAAATCACATCAAACAACGCTAAAACCACGAATCGCGCATCGAATCAAGCCTAAGAACTTTTGAACTTCTAACTTCTACATTCTATGCCGAAACCTATCAAATCACGTCTGATTGACCTCAAATTTTGCACACAAGTCACAAATGACACCACAGACCTACTAAACCTCCCGAAACCCCAATCCGAGCCTGGTACCACAAAGTCCACTCTCGGTCAAACTTCTAAATTTTTAACTTTCGCCATTTCAAACCTAATTCAACTACGGACCTCTAAATCACTACGCAGACACGCTCCTAAGTCCAAAATCACCCAACGGAGCTAACAGAACCATCAAAATGCCATTTCGGGGCCATTTACACACAAGTCAACATCCGGTCAACCATTTCAACTTAAGCTTCCAACCTTGAGACTAAGTGTCTCAACTCATTCCGAAACTTCTCCGGACCCGAACCAACTACCCCGACAAGTCACATAACAACAATTAAGCAAGGAACGGGGCTACAACTCTCAAAACGACCGGCCGGGTCGTTACACGGTCATTCTAATCCTTCCTTTAAAATGAGGGCAAACTAGTGGATACTCATACTACTAGCTCTAATGTGGCGAACACCCCTTTATATGTTGGTGGGAATTGATGTATAAACTTACATGTTTTTGCTAAGTTCTAGAATGACGCTTAGATATAATAACTGTCGAAAAGATAGATACGTGTAAGTACTCTTTACGCATTGTTAGAAATAATTCAAAAGAGAGAAGTGGGATAGATTTTTGGTAGCTATCAGAGAGTAGAAAGAAACGTTTTTTTAAAAGCGGGCATTAGAAAGTGAAAACAAAGAATCAAATGCAACTTATGGAACCTGTAAGTTCAAAATGGGGAAGAAACTACAACAATCGAAAGGAGCTCAAGTACATTACCATAATGCACAAGGGAGAAAGCTAATTTGGATATACTCCTCTAATGCATACATGCACACTTGTACATTTTCAGTTACTAGTTTTAGTGTACGTGCGTTGCACGTGTGCATCACGTTAATCAATATAAAACATATACACAAATTATTGAAAAATAGCAATTGAGGTTAAACTAAACTCAATATATGTTTAATGATGAAAATAAATATTAGTAAATTGATACAATATATGGTTGAATTAAACACTTTCTGAATGAATTTAGTGTAATTAATTCTATAGTATTTATAGTTATAAATATTTTATTATATAAAATACAAATATGCTATGTTGTTGTATCTCATCTTGCATCTCTTTGTAAACTGTACGTTCATAATGTCATTATACAAAAAAATAGTTGTTCATTCAAAGTTAATCAAAATTATAGACAAGCCAAATGAACCTCTTTGTGTGTAAAAAAAGTTGCCTGAATTCTTATTGATCCGAGTCTAAATTCCCTTCTTTGCACGTTCATCCAATGCGAAATAAAAGCTAATACTATTCTAAACTCATTCTGAATGTACTTTGCTAATAACAACTTTGAAATTTCAAGAGTTCACAATGTTGAGGTCAATTTTTCAAAATTATAGGGGGAAAAATGACAAATTTATAGATATTTCAAAAGTTCCAAATACATTAGTTTATTGTAAGTTTAAAAAATTAACTGTAGTTACAATTTCACATAGTATGATCGTAGCTTAATTTATTTCTAAATTAACACCATATTTGTTCAGACTTCTAGAAATTTAAAGTTAAAATTAAATCAATACTCTTAAGAAGTTAACATGAAAAAAACGAACATGCATTGCCGATGGATGTTCCATATGTTTTAGGTAATCAATTATTGGTAATTTGGAGAAAAAGAAAATACTATTACATACCTCATAGGCTAAGAATTAAAAAAAAATAAAATTAGTGGCCACGTACTAAACTCTAAAAGGATATTTATAAAAACTGGTCAAATAAGAAAAAAATTTAATGAGGTAAAATTTAATTGAATTTGAAGTCCTAAATATTAGGTTATTCTTAAGTAAAATGTTAGTTGAATTTGAAGTCCTAAATATTAGAAAAATAATTAAATGACTATTTTGTCTATTGTGAAATTAACTTTTAAAGGGTAAAAAGGGCAAACGACATTTCGATAGGGGCTTCGTACTTTTAATATAGTATTAATATAGTATATAGATATAGATACTATGAAAAAGCTTTCCTTTAGAATTCTAGTGCCATGTAAGAAGAATAAATGTCAAACATTTCATTGAAATTACCGTAAGGAAAAGAAACGTAATACTCTTATTTGTCCAAAGTAATATTTTTTTAATGTCCTAAATATTAGAATTTTCTACTTAATTCAAATAAGGAAAGATTTAATAACCAAAATTTTAGCTAAATTCAAATTCCTAAATATTAGAAAAATAACTAAATTACGATCTAATATAAAGTTTATTTTTAAAGGGTAGAAAAGACGAACGATATTTCGCTACGGACCTTCTTTAGAGTATGTGGATTATGCGTGTACTATGAAATTTGGAGAAATAAATATACAAAAATTATTAAACTACGTGATGAATTATAAAATAGAAAATTTTAAAAGTACAAGCTCTTAAAAAATATTGACTATTGATCCTATTTAGCAAATTTGATAAAGAAAAAAACGATGTCAAGCAAAAGTTTACTAATACCTTTACATAACTTCGATATATGAATTGTGCAATTGCTTTAATAGCTCAAATAAAGTAGAATAAATGTTGACTTGTATGCAACTATACTATGTTCTCATAGCCTTAAATAAACAAATTCTATATGCTCAAAGTACTTGATATAAATTTCATGTTATTCTTATTGAACTCAAATTAAAAAAGCGAAAAACAATAAGACACTCCATATTGTTAGATATAATTATCATATTAAGAATTTTTTAGATTAGTAATATTTAAATCCAACAAAATTTATTTGTAGAAAGAAATAAAATGATTAAATTAAATCATTATGATATAAGTTAAAATTTGCTTAAACATTATTTATATTGCTCGTGTACTCAAAATAAGTTAAATTATTTATATTGTTAGAGTATTATTTAGCTGCTAAATTTTGATGTAGGATCTAGTTTTGGGGTACAAACCCAGAGTGAGACACAAGAAGACAAATCTTAAACAGAAAATTATAATTTGAGATTTAATATAAAAAAATATGCTTGTAAATTTTTATTTCGGCGATATACCCTAAATTTATAAAATGTGTGTTTTTGCATATCACACTTGTAAAAGTTCCCCAAAAAGAGTTTAAATGTTTTGCTTTGTTAGGAATCTTCCTTAAAAATCTATATGCGTGCACAACTACATGCGTAGCTAAATTTTGGGTTTTTTAAGTTCTAAAAATTAGAATTGTTTATATTATTCATATAAGGAAAGATTTAATAATAAAAATTGTAGTTGATTTCAACATCCTAAATTTTAGGAAAAATAATCAAATTACTATTTTGTCTATTGTGAACTCTATTTTTAAAGAATAAAATAGGCGAAGAACATTTCACTAATGGCCTTCGTGCTTTTAATATAGTATAGATGAATGTACATGAAGTTCACCTAAATGATATACCTAATTTCATTTTTTAAAGATTTTTTTCTTCCTTTCAGCCGACCAGGAGGTGATCGAATTTATGGAGTTTTTGACAATCAGCTTCCTGCTGCTTTAAGAAAACTCCCATTTGACCGGCATCTTTCAATACAAAATGTGAGAAAAGTTGTCTCAGAGGCAGATGGATATCAGCCTCATTTGATTGCACCTGAGCAAGGTTATAGACGGCTTATTGAGGGAGCACTAAATTATTATAGAGGGCCAGCTGAAGCCTCAGTAGATGCTGTAAGTACTTATTTTGAAGTCTATTGGAGGCAACTGATATACGTGCTTCTTCTTGAGACTGTATTAAGTCAATGAATAACTGACCAAGGATTCATTTATTAGGTTCACTTTGTCTTAAAGGAACTTGTGAGGAATTCAGTCGGAGAATGTCAGGTAATATTGACCCTAAAGTCAGGGTTAAGCTCTATCCTTCCTCCTCCCCTTCCAAGCCTCCTCCTCTCGTTCTCTCTTCTCTAAATATGCTGATGGAGCAGGAGTTGAAGCGGTTTCCCAGTCTGCAATCTGCAATAGCTGTGGCCTCGTATGAAGCCTTGGAAAAATTTCGCGATGAAGGTAGAAAGACAGTCGTAAGACTGGTGGACATGGAATCCTCCTATCTGACAGTGGATTTTTTCAGAAAACTTCCTCAGGAAGTGGAGAAAGGGGGGAATCCAGCAACTACTAAAGGGGGAAATCCAGCAGCTACTCCTGTTGTAGACCGGCATGCAGAGGGTCACTTTAGGAGGATTGGTTCAAATGTATCATCTTATGTAAATATGGTGACCGATACGCTGAGGAACACTATCCCTAAAGCAGTGGTTTATTGCCAAGTTAAGGAGGCCAAACAATCTCTACTAAATCACTTCTACACTCAAATTGGGAAGAAAGAGGTAGTTTCTTCGCCTTTGATTTGTATTTATATTTGCTGTAGTTTTGATACATGATACTTAAAATTCAGGTTTATGTTCTTATGGATGAAACTCTTTTACATTTGTTTAGCTTAATTTGAATACACAATATTGTAAAAACTAACCGTTTAATGTGCTGATAGACTAACACGAGTAGCTTTAGGATGGTGATGCAAGTGTTGACGTAATTTTTGCTCTGTTGTCTGAAGATTAAAGTTACTGTCCGTAGCTTTGTGCTTCGAACTAAAAAATCAATGACTGACATGTGGGTCAAGAATATCATAGTAATTGCCAACTTGAAATTCTTAACGTTCTTGATTCTTCTTTTTCTTCTCTTTGGCAAGAGAACACATTTGAGTTATAAGTGTTAAAAATTAAAATAAATCTTGTGCAGAATAAGAAGCTAGGCGGGGTAACATTAGATTTCAGTCTGTTCAAGTGATAATGGCTGCAACATTTACTTTTCCAAAAGTCTAGTATCTGCAATCAATAAAACAAGTTCTTTTGTTATCTCATTCATATTTTCCTTAACTAGTTACAATTCTGAGGGAGAGCCAGATACAACTTTTATTTTGATAATCCTTTTAATGTCCCAAAGGTAGTGCTAATTATTTTCGGGAAATTTTCAGGGCAAGGAACTTGCAGAATTGTTAGATGAAGACCCAGCTTTGATGGAGAAAAGAGTGCAATGTGCTAAGAGGCTTGAACTATACAAGAAAGCAAGAGATGAAATTGATTCTGTATCGTCGGTTCGATGAGATTGGGTGCCAGACATTCTTGTAAAATAGTGCAATTCACGGGTTAGATTACAGTGATAGTAGTTGCTCCTTGGTCATCATTTGACAGCATATATTCTTTGATTGTATTAGAAGTTATCATCACAATATTAGTGGATTGTTGCTTAATGACATGTTTGTGAATGACTGAGCTACCACATATATTCATATGCCATTTTGTTCCGGCATCTCCTCTCCATTTTGTACTAGTACTTTTGATATATATGTTCTTTTGGTTTCCATACTATTCAAGTGGACTCTTATTAGTACTTTGCATAAACCAGAGGGTGCAAGTTATAGAACAATCATTTGTTTTTGTTTAGCAGCAGATATGAGTCTATTGTTGGTAGATTTCCTCAAATGCAATTTACAGAAATTCAACAAATTCTCTGGTGGATAAATCAAGACAACTCAACAAAATTCGATTCTTGTCTGGTGGATCTGATTTATGGTTAATAAACATTAACCACGCCAACTTTGCCTCTAAACCCTAGTTCCTCTTCATGGGTAAGGTTGAGGATCAAAATAGAACTGAAACGTCTTGCAATCACGTTTCTTTATCCCCTTTACCATTCATGATAAATTGGCTAAACTCATAAAACATGCTATTAAAAAATACATTGGTATTCATTTTTTGACCAATCAGAATTGGCGTTCAGGATCAAAGTTATATATGTATATGTTACTACAAAGCGCGTGAACACAAAGCCACATTGTTGGACTTTTTGAATAACAATCGAAGGTGTTTACATTTAAACATTGTTACAACTTTGTCATGTAGAGCAACAGATATCCAACACTAGAACGTGGTTGGGGAGACTAGTCATAAGTGCTAAGAACAAGCTGTTACTACCCAATTTCCCCCCGTAGTATGTCGTGATGACACATAGTATTTAACACTAGGTAAGCCTAACACTTACAAAATTAATAGAAGAATTCGACCATCAATGATAAATATGAAATAGAAATCTTTATATACAACTTACAATTCCCAAAACCGGTAGTATAAGTCATAAGCTCTACTGAGTTTGCTAGAAAATTCCTAAATACAACTGTTCGGAATAGAATTTAACAATACATGTACAATATTAGAAGGTGACTCCGAGGCCTGCGAACGCGACGGCAAGCTTACCTTGAGTCTTCACAGCAATGCTCGACCAACTAGCTAATAATCAACAATAACCGTGGCACATGGATCTACACAAAAATATGCAGAAGTGTAGTATGAGTACACCACAGCGGTACCCAACAAGTATCAAGACTAACCTCGGTGGAGTAGTGACGAGAGACAGTCAAGACACCTACCGGACTAAACAACCTGAACAAGTGTGAAGGTGAACTAACAGAGAAACAATATTAATATAAAGCTAAGCAGGATAAGGAATACAAAACAATACTTGCGATGGTACACTAGTAACAACAATATTTAACAGGAAGTAGTCAGGTAGTAATGCTGTAGAGTAAACTGAACACAGTCTAAGTCCGGTGAAACCAAATAAAGGAAAACCAGCAACGACTCAATAAGAACGACCGCTTTCACACCGGATCTGTTCAAGCATTTCCACGAGGTACCGAAACTCATAAACACAGCTCACGAGTCCCAATTCATGAACCTTAATCACTTGACATTTTGTGCCCACATTACAACTCATAACCGCACGGACGACTCTCGTACCAATAGAACAATTCTCACATAGAAGACAGGTAGACAAGAGTACGTATAATTATTAATGACGTCAGGATTCATCTTCTAAAACTGATATGGGGGATTTAACTACGTGTATGCTTGTGCTAGTGTTCTACCACAATTCAAGTCAATAAATGAGAGTAGAGACAACGAATGACACATAAGAAACGATCACAATTAAATGTACAGTGTAAGTAAGATAGCAATGAAGTTGAACCAACGACAAGCACAACAAGATTGGCTACGTAGAACTAAGCAAATATTGCAACACGGAGGAAGATAATTAATAGTATGCTAAGAAAATAACAATAAAAAATAAGTACAAAAGAATGGGGAAATCACAATAAGAGCCCTACTGAGGTACCGCCTCGTAGTCTCAAATCATAAAATGAATCACAACTTTCCTTATATCATCGCGGGAGCCTTTATATTTAGTTTTGAAAATTATTTTTTCCGAAATAACATTCCGCATTTTAGCCCACCTTATTACACCGCATGGCTTCTAGTAGTTTCCCTACTAGCCATGCGTTTCAAGCCCACCTTATCTCATCGCATGCATTTCAATACCCAGACCTTATACCACCGCATGAGTATCAATAATAACAACAGCACGACAAAAACTGTAACACTTCATAAATCCGGATTAGTTTTGGATGCGTTAAATGAGTATTAATGTGACCTTTTAGACATGTGAAGTCCTATCGGGATGATTATGATTATGATTATGGGTGGAAAACAGTTGTGTTGGAATCAAGACCGGAAGTGAGGTGCATAAAATTTGATAGAATCGACTAAGTTTATAGGAGGTCCGTTTTATAGCCTTAGACAGTGCAAGTCCATGAAAATGCACAGCCTTAGATAGTGCAAAGCCATGAAAACTCACGGCCATAGACAGTGCAAGGCACTGTCCAGGGCATTAACCTCAGCGCCCCTGACAGTGCAAGGCAATGTCCAGGGCATTAAACTTAGCACCCCTGAAAGTGCTAGGCACTGTAGTTTTGGCGCTGCCTCTGATGGCGCCTTGCATAGTTATTTTGGCGCCTCAGATGATGCCCCGCGCCGACGATGTTTATCCGAGCTACTTTTATTTACTCCTCAATTTTTGGTACGCGTACATTTATTTAAACCCTACCTCATTCCCTACAACCCCAAACACGTACATTTGCTCTAGGAAGCGGAGCTCTCAAGAACCCAATTTCCCAAGGTCCCACCATCATCCAATGTGAGTTCTAAAGATTATTCTAAGTTAATTTCAATTCTCTAACACCTTATTAACATGGGTAAATCCTTCAAATCATTAGATATTCGATCGAGACACCATTGTTAAGAAACAAAACCCTAGAACTCGAATTCAAGAGGATTGAACTTCAAAAAGGTAATGCTTCTACTCCCTAATCATTTATAGCTATGAATTGATGAGTTTTTGGGAGAATAGTAAATGGGTTTGATAAAGAGAACCATATAAACTATGATAGGGTTTTGAGTTGTTGACTTATGATTGTTGTAAACATTTGGGTGATGAGAAATGGTGTTAGTTACATCTATTTGGGATTGTAGAATCACCTAGAATTAGTAGAATGAGAACTTGATGGAGAAAAGACCAATTACTAAGGGCTATGAGGCTTTATGCCCATAAGGTGTTTGATAAAATGGCTAAGTGACTAAAATACGAGAATTAGTGCTAATATTGGTTCCTCTTGATATATATATTGACATAGATTATCGTTGAAAGAGGTGACGAACATTGTGATATGCATAAAAGGATCAGAGTCAAGGTATGTGAGGCTAACTCTCTATGTTTGGGAATGTTAATGATTCTCCCTACACTATGTTTCGTTTACAACATTACTAATTGCCACATAAATATATAGTTAAGCCTAGTTCCTTGAATAGTTTCAGAACTTCTATTCTCTACCTTCGTAGCTTGTGCATGACTTTCATTCTGAATATTGTAAGCTCAGTGCGTAATCAATATAGACTTGGGTTTGTGTCACAACACAAAATCCAACTAGTCGTGATGGCACCTAACCCAACCCGCTAGGTAAGCCAATTAACAACTATCTAATTCCAATAATATTAACAAGACAATTAAACAAAAGTAATGTACTGAATCTTATACCTTTCCCAAGTACTGGTAGTACAAATCAAGAGCTTCTAAGAATAGAGTTTACAAAGCTGAAATGAAATAAATACATCGTTTGTTTGAAAAGTACATAAACAGAATTTTTTGAACCTAAGGTTACCATGAACAAGAGGCAGCTACAACCGGAACGCAGGTACATCTTCAGATCTAGCTCGCAACGAACACAGCTACATCAACAGCCAACATCTGTACGCAAGGTGCAGAAGTGTAGTATGAGTACAAACGACCCCATGTACTAAATAAGTAACAAATCTAACCTTAGGTTGAAAGTAGTGACGAGCTAACAAAAAGGTCAGGTCCAACACCAATATTCCACAACAGTTCATAACAACATAGTATAAGTAACAAAAGAGTCTCAAAAATAAAAGCCTCAGTTCGTTCACAGTTCCAGAAAAGTAGGCATTCCTTTTCAAGTATCTCAGTGAAAACCCAAATCTTTTATCGAAAAAAGTTAAAGTACGAGTAAGTGTCAAAACTGTGATTTTTCCTAAAAGTCTTTTCAACAAATAGCAAGATGTTTCATTTTTAGATAGCATGAGGAAAGTACTTCTTTATGCCTACATGTCAAGATACAGGTAAAATCATAAATGTCCCCAAAACTAGGTAACAGAAGGAAATGCACCTCTATGTATGTATCACAAGTACACATGTCAAATGCAATGCATCTCGATGATGAGCTCATGTACTCACACTCTCAGAGTACTCAATCTCACTGTCTCGTATTCTCTCTCACTATGTTCAGCACACTCAATCACTCAGCGCTGTACAATACCCGCTGCGGCGTGCAGCCCGATCCAAATTTATAGTCGATTGCGCTCACTGGGGGTGTGCAGACTCGGGAGAGGCTCCTTTCAGCCCAAGCGCTATAATCCGCATGGACAACTCATGTGCCATAATATCAATATCTGGATCCGCACGGACAATTCACGTGCTATAGTATCAACATCTCATAAACAGGCCTCCGGCCTCACTCAGTCATCAATCTCTCCGGTCTCATTCACGGGCTCACAATGTCATGAAACTAGCCCGAAAACAATGATATGATGTATCAATAAATAACAGCTAAGACTTAGATATAATATGAATGCATGAATATGACTGAGTACGAAATATCAATGAAATCAGTGAAATGATATCAAGAAACGACCACTATGGGTCCAAACAGTATCGGCATAATGCCTAAACATGATATCTAGCATGAATGACAGCTTAACTACTATATCACATGGTGAAAATACGGATATCAATAAAGTAGGACTACTATACAGTGCCATGGGAACAATAGAGTATCAATTCATATGGTGCACGCCCACACGCCTGTCACCTAGCATGTGCGTCACCTCAACACTAATCGCATAATACACATTCCGTGTTTCATACCCTCAGCTCCAAGATTAGAAGAGTTACTTACCTCGAA